TGTGCCGCTGATAACGCGCCCAGGACTTTGCTCCCTGTAGACCACGGGTGATCCCGTTGCCGTCTGCTCACCGGCCTTCCTTGCCGGGGTGGCCCGGAGCCCGAGGAGGTGGCATCTTCCCGGGAGGACCGGAGCAGGAGGTAGCGGGGCGGTGTCAAAGCTCTGCCGCTCCTGGTTTGAGAGACAGCGGGGAAAAATAAACACCCCCTTCGAGCAGTACAAACAACAACAGCCTCAAGGGTAAAAAGCTGAGCTCTCGGGGAAAAAAAAAAAAAGCCAGGAAAAGCAAAGCCAGAATGGAAATATCCTGGTTTGAGAGACAGCGGGGAAAAATAAACACCCCCTTCGAGCAGTACAAACAACAACAGCCTCAAGGGTAAAAAGCTGAGCTCTCGGGGAAAAAAAAAAAAAAGCCAGGAAAAGCAAAGCCAGAATGGAAATAAAGCCCAGCGGCTTAAACAGGATGAAGTTAATGGTGGTCTCTGGGGCCTGGCAAGGCAGAGAGGGAGGAGGAGGATGCTGAAGGTGAAAAGCAAATCGCCGTGCTCTCCTTTGCAAGGCAAGGGGCCAGGGAGAGCCCGAGGACCAGAAGATGAGACAGTGAGCTGCTGTTCGGGCACACAGGGAGAGAAACAGATGTATGGCAGTCTGCACTGGTCATTGGAAGGATGGTTTAGGAGCAGCCTCCCAGCTGGGAGGATTGCAGAGAACCTGCACAGATTGCTTGGATAGAGACTGCTGTCTCCCTGTGTCTCAGGGAGGCTCAAGGAGTGTTTGTGTTGCTCTCTGAGGACAGACGTTGTTGAGACACTGAGCAGTACTTCAGCAGGTGATGGTGGAGCCTCTCAGAACTGTCTTCACTGTGTTTCCTTTCTCAAAGTAAGGGACACCTGAATCTGAACATGTTGAATTTGAATCGGTGCTAAAGGGAAGACCTGCATCCAGGGGGGTGTTGCCCAAGGATGAAGACCTGTAACAAAAGCAGTGTAGGCATATTGTAGGGGATGATGCTGAGCAGACAACGAATGCAGCATTGCTGCTGTCAGTGAGGACTTGAGAGCCCACAAAGGTGCACATGCCCCTCCTCAGACATATTCCCTTCTGCACCCCTCCACAGGTGACAGAGGCCTGGAATATGGCTCCCTGTAATCCATGTTTTAGATGAACCTCTAGCATTTTCTTGCAGGGAAGCAAGAGGTTTTGGCACATTCCATGGTTTCACCAGCTTTTTTCTCCATCTTTTAATGTAAATTCCTTCAAAAACCAGAAGTGCTGTTGCTAAAGCCAAACTCTGTGGAGTGTAAGAACTCCCCCTGCCTGGGGGACATATCCATCCCCATCCCTGCTCCTAGCATTGCTGGGTTCCCCCAGCCCCTTTGCAAGGTTCCAGTAACAAAGAAACAAGGAACAAGCAGCCAGCAAGATGTGCTTTACCTTGCACAGCTCTTGGTTTCGGTCAAGGGCAGTGAGATGCAGTGGTTGAATATGAAGCCTCTCTTTTTCAGGTCACCAGATCATGTCTCTTGACAGGGGCAGGCAGCACCACATGGAGAGATGTGCAAGAACAGGACTAAAGTAGTGTCCATTCCCATGTCCTCCCAGCTTCCAGGTGCACTTCTGCGATGGACCCTAACAACCCCACTTCTTTGTTCTCTTGAAGAAAGATCACAGTTTATACTGGGATCTAAGTTCAGCCCCTGCTGATCAAACTTGGCTGCCAGGTTGGTGAATGCCCCATCACTACACACTTCTTTCTGTTAGCAGCTAGGGCTGCTAGCTAGAAGCAGCCAGAGTTGAAGAGGCTGGGAAGAGAGAGAAGTGAAGCTGCTTTTGCTACTGACAAGGAAGAGCTTTGTCAACTAGCTGTAGGCAGAAGCCTTCCTTTAAGCTCACTGTGCCTGTCATTTGATTTCCTGGCTCTGACTGTGCTCCAGTCAGTCAGCCACACACTGATCCCAATCCTATGTCAGAATGGAGGTGGTGGAAGCTCCCACCAAGCATGGGAGCTCCCACCAAATTTAACTGAGCTCCAGCAGTCTGACCATTCATACATTCAGAAATGCCCAGCTTCTGTGTTTGGCACAAACATTTAATAGCAGAATTCAAAATTCAGTATGTTCCATTTTAGTCTAATGTGGAAAATTAGTACAGGTGGTAAACTAATTGTACAACAACATGTTAAAAAAAGTTTATTTTACATTATATACATTAGGGGAACATATTTCAAAGCATTACCAATCACAACAAGAATGCAGGCCATAAATCACTTTAAATTTAGTTTGGTTTTAGTGTATATTATCACAATAAAATATAAAGAACATATACAAAAAAGGAGTCAAATGTGTGCAGTTTGCTAAAACTTGGCATTTACATACTCCATTGGAAAACAGCAATCAAAAATACTTCTGATGAAAACTAAGTTCCTGTGATGCGTAGTAACCATTGTATTGTATGAATGAGGTAGTAACTAAATTATTTTGGCCATGTGTTAACATACTAAATCAAAAAAAGTGTGAAAATTGTTATAAGGCCAAAAAAAAAGTCAAAATGGCAACATCTTTGAGCCATTTCCACAATGTAGAGTGTTGCTCCTTTTCACTCTGATGTGAAACTATTTAGTAAGACAAACAGTAATACTAATTTTTATAATTGTATACACTATTAATACAAACACCTATTGTAGTGTTACAGCCAGGTACCACTATTCTGGAACTGACACCCATCCAGAAAGTATTGTTTTCCAAGAAGTAATCATAAGGAGAGTTTTAATTAAATATAAAAATACAGGTGTCTAACTGGTTTGTTTCACAAAGAAAAACTACCCATGTAAACTAAAATAAGGAACTTTGAAGCCCAAGTCATATCCACAAAGTCACAGCTTACCTTTGTGACTGAATACATCACATCTCAATATGTTGTGCAAACATGAACACCAGTGTGTTGCATCAAAATTAAAACAAGATTGTAATCTGATTACAGTGTTGATTACAATTTCTAAAACTTAAGATGTATTTGTATTAGTAAATTACATATAATAAAATACAATAGTGTTGTTAAATGTACTTATATTTGTTGCTAGCGTCCCACTTTATAATAAACACGAGAAGTCCTTAAAATAGTACCCCAATTTCAGTTGCATCCTCAGTGCCTTTTACATCTGTACAGGTTAGAAGATACTTGTACTTAACAGGAGGACCACTATCTACAGATAAAGTCAGTGTAGGTCTTCAGCAAGAAGTTTCACTGAAAAATACTGCATATGTACAAAGATTACATAACAGTAAATTAAGCACTTCTGTGGTATCATAATGCTTACGTGTCCATACCACAAACAAGTCTCATCTTCGTCTCATGCCACAATAAAATACAAAGTAACTGAAGTTGGGTTACTGCAGCTTTTGTGCAATTTCAGCCAGCCAGGAATGCTGCAGCAGCAGGAGTGTTCTCATGGTGAGCTCCCTGCCACCAGTTCTCAGTAACTGTTCTCATGCCCTGCTAGGATATACAAATTGCTGTTGGCTGTTGGGTTATCCGTCGGCCTACTCTCCAGCACTACAACCCTAAAAGGAAAATAAAACAGCCACAATGTCAAGTTAGACTTCAATAAAAAACATCCCTGAATTTAACTGTAAATATTTTTTCCTGGGATCCACCTGACCAGTGGTTATTTCTCCTTCTTGGACACCCCTACTCTAGAAGCTAACCAAAACAAGGCCAGCCTCAAAACTAGCCTGGAATCTTGTCGAAGCAAGGTCTCCAAGGATCTCCCCACAGCCTCTCTGGGCTCCTACTGCAGTGTTCAGTCACCCCATACCACGATGTTTTCCCCTCTTCTATCCAGCTGTAACTTCCCTTGCTGCAATGTGTACTTGTTGCCTCTCATCCTTTCAGTAGCGGCTTTTGGAGAGGGTCTGTCAATCCTCTACTGCCCAGGCTTGTAGCTCCCCAGAGCTTTGCAAAGCTAACCCATTAACCAAGCTCCAGTTCTGGAAGTTGTTAGTCTGCCCTTTGCCACTGGACATGACAGAAGACCAAAGCTGTGTCTTCTGTGACCATTTTCTAGTCCTTCCCTGAGCACGTGTAACTTAATACACAGAAACTTTCTTTAGCTCTGAAAGTCTCAGATACTTGAAGGCAGACAGTCAAGGAAAAGGATTGCTATGTGCAAAATCTTCTCTCCTACTGTTTTCTTGCCACCCACTTTTGGCCAGCATTGGAAACAGGAGAGATTGGGCTAGCTGGACCTACACTACAACTGTAAAGACTAAAAGGGATGTCTCCTAGATCAGACCTTTCTCTTCAAAAGACAGAAATCAGCAGTCACAATTATAGTTCACAAACCATTTGAGATTTTTTTAATCAGTCAAGAACTGCTAAAATGAATATCCATTACGGAATTCTCCTTTTCCACAACAAAATATGACAGAGCTGCAAGCAAAATGGTATCTGAAGAAGAAACTGGAATTAGTGATTATTGCAGTGCAGTCTTTCAACATTGTCTCAGACTTGGGAGACTATCTGTGCAAACCAGAAATAGATGGAACTGTGTTCAGGGAAGACAATGTTATTTTTCTGAGGCAATGATTTGCAATGTCAGACTCCATAGTGAAGTCACACTTGTTTTTTAATTGAGCTGTGCTGTCTCTCAACAACTAAGAGAAATGACATTAATAAAGCTGAGCTCCATGAACACCTCCCTGGAACAGAGAGAGTAAAAAACCCTCAAGTCTGAGATGAGGGTTACACCTATCCATTACTGCAAACCTATCAGACATTACTGCACGTAAGGCAGCACCCTCAACCCCCAGCCAGCAAAAATTGCTGGTAGCTAGTCAGTAAAGCCACAGCACCACTTGACTGCTGTTGATATTACAAGTAATTACAGGGCTGTGCATCGAGCTTGTAGAAACAGTATGCGGAAAGCCCTTGGTTGATACGAAGCTTTTCTGGTAGTTCTAACATCATAGGATCATAGAAAGGTTTGAGATGGAAGAGACTTTAAAGATCATGTAGTTCCAGCCCTGCTGTCATGGGTAGGGACACCTCCCAGTAGACCAGGTTGCTCAAAGTCCCATCCAACCTGGCCTGGAACACTTCCAGGGGTGGGGCTTCCACAACTTCCCTGGGCAACCTGTGCCAGTGTCTCACCACCCTCACACTAAAGAATTTCTTCCTCATGTCTAACCTAAATCTCCCCTCTTTCAGCTTGAAACCATCCCCCCTCGTCCCATTACTCCCTGCCCTTGTCTAAAGCCCCTCCCCAGCTTTCCTGTAGCCCATTCAGGCACTGGAAGGCCACTATGAGGTCTCTCCGGAGCCTTCTCTTCTCCAGGCTGAACAGCCCCAACTCCTCAGCCTATCTCCAGAGCAGAGGTGCTCCAGCCATCAGATCATCTCCATGGCCTCCTCTGGACTCACTGCAGTAGCTCCGTACCACAAGAGCACATGCTTGTGGCAGAAGGAATTCTCAAAAGACAATTTAAAGCCTATCTTTGCACTTTAAGAGAATACATCACTGGTAAAGCTGTCACATCAGCATTCACTCCCGAGAAGACAAAACAGCTGCTGTTTTGTGGCTGTCACAGAAGTACAAAGTTTGAATGAAGGGAAAAGAAAGTAGAGGAAGTCAGAGACACTCTTAAAATATCAAGGGTTCAAAATTTGGCAATCTGATACCTGATGGGTCAGACAGGCACAGTGTTACTGTCCTGCAAAGCTGACGCCAAATAACAACTATGCTGAAAATTATCAAAACCTCTCACAAGACCTGAGCTGCTGTGTTGAGAGGACAACTGGTAGAGTTTGTTTCTACAGAGGAAAAGTGAGATATTTCAGTTTGTTAACTATTTTTTGCATTTATTTCAAGAATAAATTCTTCATGAGCTACAGAAGCCGAGTATCTGAAAGTAAACATTTCACCAAGTTAAACAAAAGAATGACAGCAGAAAAGGGAAGACACTCCTGGAGATTGTGACTTCAGCCAAATAGGAGCTTGCTAACATGGCTCAGTACTTCTGGAAGCCCACAAAGCACTTTTAGAGTAAAATTTTTCCCTATTTCTTTTTTTTGAAGAAAGAGAGTAAACTTTAATGGCTGAAAGGTAGCCATGTACATGAATGGGACACACATTATTATTCTGTTTTAGCATTACATGTTCATTACTGTTCCTACCTGTCAGATCCCAGAAGCCTGAATATCCTCGTATTATCAGAAATTTCTTGTGTGATCTAGACAATAAAAGTAAGACAAGTATTTACATGTTGAGTACACAAGTGGTTTTATTTGTTTTTAAAATCAACCTAGAGAAAATAATTCACTGATTGATGTTACCAATTTACTGCTGATTTATATGAATTAGAAAATTTAGCCTGTCACTTTTAAATAAGATCTAAAAGTTTCCTGTAATTCATGCCACGTCATGTGAATACCTCTGGAAGAAACTGCAAACACAACAGCAGGGCTCAGCATTGCCCAGCACCTGAGCTACCAGTGCAATTCTCTTTACAGACACAACTGAAATCTATACCTGTAGGGTGCAATTTGTCTCAGTCTAGAGTAGATATTAAAAATGGGTCAGGTAAATCACACACACAATACATTTTGCTGAAATTCTGAATCGTAGTAATGATGCAGTAAGTCCATATTCTGAAAACCTTAACAGTGAAACATAATCTAATTTCTGGCATTTATGTTCATTGTGAAAAGAAAACATGGTATTATGACACTTCAGACTAGTGCTATAAAGCCTTGTTTAATGCAGGTGAATTGTACTTGTGTGATACATCTTTATGATTACAGGAATACCAAAGAAAACATCATGTTAATCAATAAAGCCAATGAAAGCCCACTGCATACTCCAAAGGATATCAGGTCACACCATGAATAGGCAGCATGGTTTACAAAGCTCTTTTTCAATACAGCCACATGGCACGTTCTTGAGTAAAGAAGAGATTCTTCTCTCTTCCCCAGATCCTAGTAGCATTAGCTGACTAATTCACATTAGTGAATTCACTGCTGGCACAGAGAACTTGCAAGACCATTTTAATTAGCAACAAAGTTCCCCACTTTAGTAAAAGAAACCCCTACTTCCTGCTTGTTGTGGGGCTGAGTCTGCACAATCTTGGCCCTAATTTTGAGCATCTTGTCTCAGAATTCACCATTTAATTCTTCCCATTCAATCAAACCACTGCAGAAGGTCACAGATGTAAAAGGAAGCAACTTTGTAAGCAGTTCAAATCATCCCCAACTAGACCAACTGATCTTAGATCAAGGAATCGGAACAAATACAGTCTTCAAAGACAAATGTGCTGCAAACTTAGATTGGTCAGGTTTTTGCCCTGTGTAACTGCTTCCTGCATACTACATAGTACCAAATTCCCAAAAGTCAAGATCTAAGCCTGGTAACGCAGGCTTTTCATATTACAGATGAAATGGAGTTGTTTTTTTCCTAATAGCTGTGACTAGTAGCTCAGCAATGAGACATACGGAACTTAAAAAGGCCTGAGAGCTTAGATATGTTCTACAGAGAAAAAGGTTAGGTTGGATTCCCTTCTGACAACAGCTCAGGTCTGTCTTCTGTTCTTCACTTACATGCTGACTTTGGATTGACAATAAATGAAGCAAGATGACTGCTCCTTATGCTTTACATAAACAACATACAGCACCCACTTGCATGGGAGCACTCTGGAGCATGTCCTCTAGCAACTGGATCAGAGCTACTGAGTAATCCACTGAGCCTTGCAGAATGCTGCTAGCAGGAGTCTGGAATTGGAGAAGTGCCTAGTGGCATCATCTCCTCCTCACAGTCTGTGCTAACAGCAGGGTGCTGCAGCTCACCAGTGTGAGTTCTTGGGAGAAGGACTAGGGATCAAACATGCACAAATGCCACAAGAAACATTTGCAGGCTTAAAAATAAGTAGTAGCCTGACTTCTGGTCCAACCTCCCACAAAGAGTAGGCTTACTGTCAGCACAGATTAGGTCAGCTGTGGCTTTGTACAAATAAATTTACAAATTGTGTAACAAGGTGGAATATCTAAGCTGGGCATGATGTGATTGTATGTGTACCTTAAAATACCATTAGTTGTAAGGAGCTCAATTTCTCAGCCAATGCAACACTGGCAAAACAACTGGTGAAAACGGCAAACATTCTTTAATAAACAAATTAAAAGACACATTAAAATCCTACAAAGCACAGCATTTCCACTAACAAACAGATGCACGAAGTTTGCAGCAAGAAAATAAACAAAAAGGCCCAGTCTCTTGTTCCTTTCTGCTTTGTATGGTACACTTGACAGGGGCTCTTTATAGTTTCATTAATTAGTTTGCAGCTTATGAAACACACTTAGAATGAGGCTCCAGCTTCCAGATTTATTAACCTAGGCAGTTGCTGTTTGGTTTTCTTTTCAAACCACAGTATTACGCATTTATCCTATGCTTGGCTTATATTAGAAGCTTAGAGTTTGATGCAAAATGCAGTACTCACCTCATTTGATCTAAAACTCCTTCCTTGCATGCCGTGTTTCCAGAACGCTAACACACTGTCTTGTAGACACACTGGTAACAAAGAACACTGCAATCAGTCTTGAGGCAGAACATCAACTTACGTTTTTCAGGCCTGAAGTGTCTGACTGCAATTTTGAAATTTGTGCATGTATATTCTATCGCATCATGCTCACCCATACAGACTGCAAAATGCCTCACAGGCTTTGCTGAACCTTCCTCAAAAGCAGCTGCATTTATATGTTTATGTCTGTTTAATGAGCAGGGTTTAAAAATATTCCCACCCAACCAGGCAAAGTTCTAAAACTCTCCTCTTGTCTAGTCCTAACACATCCTTTCCTTTGAACTGGAATGCCCCTACCTCCATTCTAATACTAGCAAAAAATATATATTGCATTTTAGCAGAAAAATGTGGCCTTTGTCGCTTTCCCTGTAACTACTGGTTAATATGGTCCCTCTGCAATAGCAATGCAAATGTTTACAGAAACCTCTACTTCTCAGCCCTTCCCTTTGTCTCAAAGATAGTTACAGACACCTGCCTTTGAACCCTTGGAAAGGACAGGGGACTACGGCCTTCCTCAAAGAGAGGGCAAGTCTGTAGGTTCCCAGAAATTATCCATCCCAGCTGCATCCAGCATCCTGCCTCTGGGCAGGTATGCAGAAAAGAGTAGAGCTCTCTGGAGACACTATCAGGCCAAAACAGGACACTGGTAGCTTGTTTATTATGACAAGCAGAGAGGACTACAGCACATGCAGAGGTCCCACAGTGAGCAGTTTCAAGTACACATACTCGTTCCTTCTTCCCATTCCTAACCAACAAGAGCCACAGTGTTTTTCATGACAATGTTCTTTGTCTTCTCTGTGAGACAGTGTTTTAAGTGCCTGAAACTTTAAAGCTTCTCCCCAGAAGTAAATTCCCTCCAGCTCCTTACTCCTGTTTGTTCCCACTGTTCCTGCTCTTCTGGTGCTACCCTCCAACTGTGCACAAATCCTTCCTTATCCTTCTTCCAAAAGCACACGATGCAATGCAGGTACATAACCACTGGGAAATTGTCAAAAGAAAGTTATTCTGTCCTTGTTTCACAAATCTAGTTCATTCAGAAGAAAACAAAACTTACATCAAGTGTGACACATCATATAATTTAATGTTTGAGCTGCTTTATGAAAGTGGACTTCGTGAACACACATGCAGAATGAGTTAGCCACGAGTGATTCACAGAGTTTATGTAGGTTGTGTTAACGTATTCCTTCAGTGGCTGAAGGTCTCCATCATATTCCAAAGACATTTAGCCTAATCAGGAAAGACTCCAAGGTTATGACTTAATTCCAATTGCTCCTAATAAAGCAGGATACAGTGTGCTGAACCTCTTACTGAGCCTTCTCCCACGAAGTAAAATACATGAGATAGTGTTTCAAATGCCAAAGACTTGGTAATTAAAATCTCTAATCCTGTACTGTGACAGTAAGCGAGTTAATCATAGGATATCTTGAGTTGGAAAGACCCATGAGGATCATCATGTCCTCCTCCTCACAGGACTGCCTAAAACTAAAGAACATAATTTAGTGCATTGTCCAGACACCTCCTGAACTCCAACAGGCTTGGTGCTGTGACCACCTCTGTTGGGACCCTGTTCTAGTGACTGAGTACCTTTTAAGTGAAGAACCTTTTCCTAATGTGCAGTCTGAACTCCTGACACAGCTCGTGTCCTATCACTGGTCACCAGAAAGAGGAGATCAGCACCTCCCCCTCCACTGCCCCCCTTGAGGAAGTTGTAGGCTGTGATGAGGTCACCCCTCAGCCTTCTCTTCTCCTAGCTGAACAAGCCAATTGAGCTCAGCTGCTCCCCTTAAGTTTTGCCCTTGAGATCTTTCACCATCTTGGTGATCATCTCCTCTGGAGACACTCCAGTACTGAGGTGCCCAAAACTGCACACAGTACTTGAGGTGGGACCACAGTGCAGTATGGAGTGGGACAATCATCTCCCTGACTGGTGAGTTGTGCTGTGCTTGATGCATCCCAGGACACAGCTGGCCCTTTTGGCTGCCAGGGTAGACTGTTGACTCATACTCAGTTTGCCATCAACCCAAACCCCCAGATCTCTTTCTACAGGACTGCCTTCCAGCCTCTCATCCCCCAGCTTGTATTTATAACCAGGATTACCTTGTCCCAGGTGCAAAATCTGCTCCTTGTTCTTGTTGAATTTCATATGGTTGGTAACTGCCTAGCTCTCTAGCCTATCCAGATGTTCAATATTAATAATGAAATCCAACTTACCTATTGATTCAATTTGAAAATCAAACGTGAGCTCCGATGACAGTTTGCGGCTGGATTTTAACCTCCCTTGCAGATTCACTATTTTTATGCAGCCTAAACAATAAATAGGATATGTCAACTAAGAATTACCTTCAGTATAAGACCTAATTTGAAGACAGACACTATGCATGTATATGCATACATATATATTTAGTTGATACTAAAACTTACAATCCAGACACACCAAAATGGTATCTCTCTCCAGCTGCGTTACATGCACCACACTTGTCTCTGTAGTGTCTGTAAGAAAATAAACAGTGTTAGTCCATAACAAATTACCTTGAAATTTGAAATGGAAGTTCTAGAGATTGAGACCATTTAATGGGTTAGGTGTGCTTTTATCTACTTAAAATAACCATCTTACCAGTGACATTTCTCTTCCCTTAGAGAGGCATGGCCACTTATCCAACATGTTGACTGTGACAGGAAAACTGAAGTTGTAGTAATAAAGTATGGACTTAATCCAGCTTTTTCTGAGTCATGTCACAAGAGCAAACTCATGTACATTGTTCTCCCTTTATTTTATGTTGGTGTCTGACACTATTTTTTGCTGATGCAAAAAAAAGGCAGATACATAAGGTTGCCCACAGTTAACCTGAACACTGTTTCGTTCCATTTTTCTTCCGCCTTTATTTCGAAATCTTGCTAGGGACTTCAATATTAGTACTTAATTCTTGCTGCTGTTTTCAGACTTTCCATCCCCAGATCTTCCAAAAATAGGGGATTGTTTCTTTCTCTAAACTCCTAAAAGAAGGATAATTATCTTTTCTTCCAGGTTACAGCTGCAGCAGTTTCCATCACAGCAAACAGGAGGATCTGACCCACAAGTGATTAGTGGACATGTCAACTCAAAGTGGAGAAGTGTAGTCTTGGTTCATTTGTTTGTTAACATTAAAATGACAAAAAAAGTAGCTCTTACTAATTCAGCAATACTATAAGCAATTCTGCAGGCATACTTTCATATAGAAAAGTGAAACTCATTAAATCTATTAGAAATGAGAAATTGGAGCATGTTACCTAAAATACAAAAGCAGCTTTCAGTTAAATAATAAAATCCATGGTCCTGTTGAGAAGCAAAAAACTCCTCAAGGATGACAGCAGAATTGTGCTCCTTGAGGTGGTGCCTCCATCTCTTTTTTGCTATCTTGGAAGGTATACATTTGTGATCTGAAAGAATTTCTAATGCATGATCTTAACCAAAGGTGGACAGAGCCATGGTGAATGCGCGCAACGGAAGGACTGGAGGACAAACATCTGTGCAACCACACAACGCCAATCAGAAGCATGAACTGCACTGGCTGAAGTTAACAGAAGGATGGCAACAGGAGAACCCCCTGCAGTAAGTCTCCACCAGGTAATTTTTCTTTTAAAGGTCTTTATCAGACATTTACAAAAAAGAGTAAAACCATGAAAACTAGTATTTGATGGAAGCCATGTGACCATATGGTACATGCTTTCCCCGTTAAAAAAATATACTGAGAAATCTGTTTCACTGTGTTACTGTTCTCCTGCCAGCAGGGGAAGAGGAATTAACCAATACAACATGAGGGTTTAAATTAGAGTCAAACATTATCTCAAGAAAATAAAAACATACACATAACATGAAAACATACAAATGATTCAAAGGAGCTGCAGAAGTATTTTTGGAAGGTACAATGCAATGTTAAATTTTCCATATGAAAAGACGGGAACCAGGAAGGGATTACTCTTCTTGCATTTACACACTGATGCAGACAATACAGAGAAGAGAATGACAACAGGACACTATGGGGTGAAGAATTTCTCCTTAGCATGCTATTTTAATGGACTCTACTGAAGTCACACAGTTACTTGAGTTTGAAAACACAATGCATTAATTGGCCATCCACTAATCACTTTGTTTTTGTAACTATGCTTTAAACTATGTCAAAATCTGACACATTTCCCAGCAGCAGGAAAGTCAGTAGGCACCTTCCTAGTGGAAACTGTTCTTCTTAGTGGATTCTATGGTACATAATGAGCTGGACACACACATATATATGCCAGCACAGGGCTATATAGACTGTATACATTCACCATGGATGAACAAGGGCTCTATTCCTGGTAATAACAAAGCTATTTACTGCTTGTAAACCTGCAAACTATGATGGGAGTCAGCTCACCACTACTATCTAGGTTTAGGGGAGAGCCCTGCCACTCTGGAAAAGTAATTATTGGCACAATTCCTTCTTAAGAGAACTTCTACTGTTGCTCAGATGGTGGCCTCCTCACTCAGAGGGCCCAGAGCAGTGACAGGTACATGGTTTCCTGCTAACAGTGGTCCTAATCCCTTTCACTTTCTATTAACATCAGAAGAACAGAAATGTGCTCTCTCTCAGCAGTAGATTGGTAATACCATTTCTAACCACACTAGCTTACTGCAGGACAGCCAAACCATATCTAGAGTGATGTTGAAAGAAACTGCTCAGAATGCAAGTCTATTAAAGTCTATTCAATAAACAGAAGTCATGCTGCCAGGGTAGAGCACAGAACAGTGCAGTGAGGAATATTCAAGTAAAGCCTGATTTATGGAAATGCAAGAAAGCAAAACTCCATCCCCTGATGTACCCAAAATTTCAAGAAATCAAATCAATTAAAGAAGTAGAAACATCAAAAAAAGGGCATGTACAAGCTGAGACTCCTTTAAACAGAGAACTTAAAATGATCACTTAGCCTTAATCATTTGACCATTAGTGGCCTCAGAGGAAACTACCCTTCTAGTGTTTCAGCTACAACAAAAAAGCAAGGAACATTTCTGAATGCAATTACAACAGCACACAAACCTGTTTCTGTAAACCATGAAGAGGTAGAATTTGGGTTGACAGTCTCAAACTTCACCACCTGGTTGAAGTCTCTTCCTCTACTGACACCAACACAAACTAAGGGGAATTCCTGCTCAGGGACTACCAGCATTTCAAACAATCTCAGTGGACAAGGTACAGGAAAATCTATGTGCTAGATTAAGAAAGAAAAATAGACATTAGAAGGGAAACAAATTCAGTCTGAGTTGCTATTAGCTATTTAAGCTGTATGGTAAATGTGATTACATGTATTTTGTAACATTCAGTTTACTTCAATTGATAGATACAAGAAGCCTGAGTTAAGAAGTTTAAAAGAGTCTTCATGCAGAGTCAGTTAAAATAGGATAATGTGTCTTTCATCATATGGGTCCTGTGCAGCCGCCCACAGATTACAAGACTGCTCTACCTGTTATTGCTCTCCCTGGCTAAGTCTCTAAGCATTGTTTTCCAGACTGATAAAGTTATAGCAGCTGTCTCTCTACAAGTATGAGTCTACCTTAGTGCCATCTCTTCAGGTGGTGTCACATGGGGAGATAACAAGCATTTCTGGGCACCTCTAGTGTCACAAATTATAGAATAAGTGGCCACCTTCTCTCTGGTAAGGGAACAAGCCTGCTGTTAACCCATGTCATCAGCCTGTCAGCCAGAGTTTTTCTACTGTGCAACTAAAAGGCAATGTTCAGGAAGAGAAGGGCTTTTGCTCTGTAACTGAAGTGCACCCCAAAACCAAGAACATTCCTAAAAATATTTTGAGCCAGTTGGTACTTATTACACATTTAAATAGCTATTTTCAACATAATTCAACAGAAAACAAGAATAAAGTCTTAATAGCTCAAGAAATGGCTTAATCTTAACAAGTCATGCAAGATAAATAGAACTGAACACAAGAGTATTTCAGTTATCATAATATTACCTTGATTAACATAAATTTTTGCATTGGCTCAACCCATTCTAACAAAACAATGCTAGACTGTAGTGCTCCACAAAGGTACTTGTGGCCAGTGTAGGGATTCCTCACTGTCAAAAAAAGAGAGGTAGAGTACATTAGTGTACTAAGCAAATACAAACTATAAACAATTTCCAACTAAGGAATAGTCAATAAACCTTAGGTGTACCCACCACCACTCTAATCTTTTATATAAGTAAGTTGCTGAAAAGTCAATATCCAAGCTATGAAAATGGTGAGAGTAAGATATTGGAGCAGGGGCTGCTCTTCCACTGAGCAAGAACAGCTAGGAGCTAGTGCCAAATAAGCTGTAATAAACATGACTCTCATAAGAGTGCAGTGATATGTTTCACCTCTCCAACTCAAAATAAAGTTTATTGTTGTTTGTTTGGTTTTTTAGACTGGTAGGTGTGTTTTGCTCTTTTAGATAGTTTTAAAAAAACAGCTGATTGCATACACATTTGAAGTAACTTCCTCCACCATGTTGGTTTGCCTAAGCTATTTCCAAATCATCATGAGACACTGGTTAAAGACTGTTTTTTTCTATGACACACATTTATCCATTGGGCACTAAACAGTCACTGTCACTCATGTGAAGGCTCAAATAACTGAAAATAGTCCTTGCTTTTTATCATCCAATATTGGTAAATGGAACTTGTACTAGTAAATTAGACTACTTAAGGCTGATAGTAGTTTATTTAAGTCACTCCACCCACAGAGATTAGGTCCTCCCTAAGGGCTGGTTTATATTTTACATGCATTCTGCTTCTCTTCATTTTCTGAAAATAGTCCTTATATGTACAAGGCAATATGGAAAAGATTTCACTGCTTAAAACCAAGGACTAACCTGAAAAAGTTCAGTGTCTGTAAATGCACAGTTTCATAATAATGACAAAAGTCTCTCCTCCCTTTACCTCCTAAACATGACTCGGTAATCTTAATACTGCCACTATTTGTATTATTATTATTATTGGCACTTGTTCTGCAGATCTTTACTTACCAACACAACACTTCTGACACCATTTAGTGTCAGGAATCTTTGTAGACACTGCAAACTTCCTACAAGATATAAATACAGAATTATTGATCAACTAAAACAATTTAACAAATTTGGTTTTTAGAGCTGTTGGTTGGTAAATTATATTATATTATTATATTCCCCCCCATCCCCTCTGAAAAACAAAACAATATATTTATTTGATATGCCTAGAACATACACGATGATCCCTCTGGTAGCACTGAGATGCTGCCACATGGATCTAATTTGTTGCTGTAGAAAAGATGGGAGTAAGTGGGATGATGCATGGATGCTGCAGCCAAAGTTACGAATTGGGAAAATACTTGCACAGCATTTCAGCGGTGTTCAGAAGTGACTGAGCAGCAGGACTGAGAAGCATGAAAACTGAGTAGTGGCCACAAATTTTGTTTGGAAGTAGTCATGGAAGGTTTTAAAAAGGAACTACTTAAGGACATGCAAGGGAGAGAAGATGGAAAGGAGACTTATCACAGGCCTATTTTCTGCTACTGAATGTTTCCCTACCAAGAATCACAAATTGAGCTTAGAACATTTTGCACATTAATATACAAGCCTTGTAAATTACTTTGAATTCCATTTTGCTTTGCATTTTCTCTACAAAAACTTTGCTTTCAACATATCTTAAGTTTTTCATTTAGCACTCATCATCGAGGTATCCAGGAACACGCTGAATACACTGTGGTCTAGTATGAAAAAAAATTACAGCTTTCTACATACTCCAAATGGAATTTTGCTTGGCTAAATATTGCTACCCTAGTATCTTACAGTAAGGGCTAAAAAAGCCAAATGGATTATCTGAACAAATCTCTCCTGCCTTTGAATGACTGACTTGACACGTGCACATTCAGGCTGTGCTACCTATTTCTTGGGAAGTGATGTGAATGGATAAGAAATTTTCTGAGCCTTCTGCAACTTAGGTGAGGTGTCATTCCACACTGAATGTAGTTTGAAGGTTTTGACTCTTATGATAATTACAGTTATTAGTCCACTGCTGATGCTGTCCTCAAGCCAGAGTCATCCAGATAAAGCTAGTTTGAAAGAGGGAGGAGCAGAACTGTGGTGCAGGCATTCAGAAGAGAATTCAAAGCACAAATTACTTCTTAGGTAGCTAAAATTTAGGCTCTAGGAAGAACACAGTTTTCAGACAAGTGTTGCACCATTATGTTTGCAGATGACTGAACAAGAAGCCTTTCCCAAATCTAAGAATTAAATGTTAATAAAGGTAGCAGAGCATTGGGTCTTCTACAATACAATCTCCTAACAAAAATCTAACTATGTTCGAAGAACCAGTTATTCACCATGTACTTTAAGAATCAAAGGTTTATCTGCAAATTAGGTGTTACTGCCTCCTCCTCTTGGATTTGAATGAGCTCCTAAGACTTGTTTGGCAGCCAGCACTGCACCCAGTCTCTGCGATTTTGTATGCATTTGTTAGTAAATAAAGTTGGAGGGACTGAATGCACAATGTACATCCGGGGACTAAGTACCTTCTACATCAGCCTGTGAAAAATTACTAGTCAATCTGTACTCCACTTCTATTCTTCCCAGCTTTCAAAACAACCCATGAGCCCATTTCCCTCTGCAGTAAGAGTTTATACATCCTCACTTCCCACTCCCCCTATCCCACCACATAGAATGGAACTAATAGAACTAATGTAAGATAACATTTCTACTTGCCTGAAATATCACAGGTACAGTACTGGCTCTACACTTTATTCAGCATCAAGTACAACCAGGATGTACCATAACAGACTATAAAGATAAAAAGAGCTATGCCTAGAAACAAGAGGCTTCATATCATATCACAGAATGGTTAAGGTGGGAAGGGACCTTAAAGGTCATCAGGTTCCAACCTCCCTGCTATAAGCAGGGACACCTCTCACTATACCAGGCTGCACAAGCCTCATCCAGCCTGGCCTTGAACATCTCCACGGAGGGGGCTTCCACAACTTCCCTGGGCAAACTACTCTAGCACCTTACTATCCTCATGGTTAAGAATTTCTTCCTGATGTCTAACCTAAATCTACCCTCTCTTAGTTAAAATCAATACCCCTTGTCCTATCATTGCTCTCTCTGATGAAAAGCCCCTCCCCAGCTTTCCTGCAGCCCCTTCAGTTACTGGAAGGCTGCTATAAGGTCTCCCCAGAGCCTTCTCTTCTCCAGGCTGAACAGCCTGAACTCTCTCAGCCTGTCTCCATAGCAGAGGTGCTCCTGCCCTTTGATCATCTTCGTGGCCCTTCTCTGGACATTCTCCAACAGGTCCACATCTTTCATCTGTTGAGGGCTTCATTGCAAGAAGGTAAGATGTACCAAAACCCACTTCTCTATTAAGATTATATTCACATCCTGAGTTATGTAAATGTAAGGGTTTACCCTCTCAATAATGCCCACATGAGCTATTCATGGCAGTCTGTGAACAGAGATCCCTGTTATTTGGTATACCCAGAGTTTCACAAGCATATTCTCAGCTCCCAGAATGAAGATACTCTGCTCTATCTGATGACGTATATTTACCTGGGAAGTATTCGGTCAGGGAGTTTATGTGCTGGAATTGCAACTGGTAACTTTTGCATTTGCCTTGCATAATCAAAGAGTCCTGGGAGATTATGAGAATAAAGCTGAGAAGCTTTACCTGGAAATTAGAAAACAAAACCACACTTCAAACACGAAACCAAATGTTTACCAGCACTATTACTCAAAGACAGCACAGTAACTTACCAGATATTGATAACAAGCAATTGTTCATGACATACAACCATGTACACCTTCGAGGGAAAAGCTGATAAAGGAAAGAAAAAGAAAAACAAAACAAAGAAAGAAATCAATTCAATTTGATATATGCAAACCATGAGCACATTAAGTTGATCAATTAATATGTGCAAAAATGACAGGACAAAACTAATACTGACTTGCCTTTTTTTTTTTTTTTTTTTTTTAGCAGAAATTAGATTAAGCCAAGTAGTATTTACCTGGATTCCAGAGTTAATTCAGAGTAAAAACTTCAGCACACATACTATATTTAACATACACAATAACACTTAGACAATTAGCACATTTTATATTCATGTCTTCAAGTATACTATAATTAATCTACAAGACACAACTATAAAGATCAATCCATCCTTTTTCAAAAATTTTAAAAAGCAGGAATCTTTCTCCTTTAAAAAATAAGTGGTAACTTCTGGAGCTTGTTGCCGCAAGAGTTTAGGGAGGTGTAACATGTCTAATTACACTGTTGATACAGGTCCATGAATTGATAAAATAAGCAAATAGGCAGGGATCCTCCAACATCCTCAATTCAGTGACTGTAGTGGCGTCTGAGGAGAATGGACAGCAGACAGTGGCCAAGCTCAGGGACATTTCCTACTGCTACTTTAGTTAATAGACCTGTGGGGCCTAGACAGACCACTCTGGATAACATTTCTTCTGCTATTTAAAAAAACAAATTAAACCAAACAATCAGCCCCTCTCCCCAAAACAACAAAAACCACACCACTCACTGCTGGTTTGTTAGAAAGATTTGTATATTAAGGGAGAGATTTTTCTGCCAAAGAGCAAGGGACTGATCTTGAAGCTGTGCTAACTCCTGAAAATGGAATTTATTCCTGCTTGGTCCATTAGTGAAATGCAGTATAGTGAAAAATAACCAAGGATGCTACTTTTGATTTTATACTGAATTCTATCAGACCTACAGTGTAAACAAAGAAGTGAAACACATTACTTGAAAATACTATTAAAGCCCTATTGCCTGTTATCATAAATAATAATGTAATAAATAGTTAGCACAGACGGTGCTCTTCTGTTGCTGAAGTCTTCTCATAACCTAAACACACTGTAAGAAAAACCTACGGTAACAATCTACCAGCCTGGCTGTATCCAAATTTAATGTGCAGGTCTGATTGCTCTTCTGTAGCTGCAAAAACAGTTTGTGACTTAGTAAGTTTGGGTCTGAGGATCACAAAAAGCCAGCCATACTTCAGATTTGAAGGTTGATGGACCTGTTCTGTACATGACTGGCTGTTTTTATAAGCATCTCTTCTTGTCTTAAAGTACTTATTAAAACATTTCCATACAAGCTCACTATGCAATGCACCACAGAACGTGGTGCTTAGAGAATACAACATGGATATGAAAGAGCATGGGTTTCATTACACTTATTCTCTTTGCCAATTAAGAAAAACCCACACAATAAAAACAACAGTGAACCAAAAGAAACAAACAAACAAAGCCTTCCTTGGTCTGCCTGGCCTACAAGAATTATTATAGTAGTGATATTTCTCAGGGTAGGTTTTACAACTGCAATATAGAAGCAGAGAGGTACCTGAACAAAGTATAAACTAGCTAACTCAAGCATCAGCATGGTTATGGGTTACATGGAGCTCAGTGTAAGCTAGCTAGGCCTTCTTCTTTTGAACACAACAGACATGTCTACAATGCCTGGACTCTGGAAGATGAACAAACATCAGTGCCTCCAGCTTAGAGTGTGATGGCTGTCCTTGCAAATTCCTCCACCTTGATGGCAGATGCATAGCTCCCCAAGTTAGGGAGAAGGCAGGAAAGAAAAGTCTCTCAGAGATTAACAAAAGAGAAGACACCATACAGAAAAGCCTGCAATTGGTGTTTCTCCCTCCCCATTATCCCCTAAAAAAATACTACTTGTAAGGTTCTGCAAAGACAGAGTTTTATTTGTATTAACTAAACTGAGTAAAATCAGCAAAGCTGCTTTTAAGACCTGAAGAATGGAATCTAGTATATAAAGGATCGTCTTACTTCCCTGTAGCTGAAACACAATGTTGGCTGCAAATATTCTACCTTGCAACAAAACACTAAAGAATTCAAAAATTTTCCATCAGGAAAATTCCATGCTATTTAACAAATCATTTAACTGCAGGACAAAACACTATGACATTCAACACACTGATATATGCAGATCTCTTACTTAAACATGGTTCAGCCTACAAAAAACTTAAACATGACAGAAAGGCATCCTCAACTGTGAACATTTAAGGTAATTCTCAGCATAGGTAGTGCCTATGTAACTGTAGTAAAGACCATTTTTACAAGGACTCTACAACATTAATCTGAGTGGCTAAAAAAAGTAATAAAGAAGATTTTGTCCCCAAAATACCAAACCAGAAATATACCTGCTCCATGGATGTTTCATGAAGTTCATTGAGGTTCAGTGTGTAGATACCTTCTTCTGCACCAAATATCAAGTACTGATCTGCAAACACAAACAAAAAAATCTGGAAAGCCTGATTTAAGGAAAGCGTTACAAGAATATGCAGGTCTTTACCAAAAAATCCTTAAAAAAATTACACACAAAGGAACAAACCAACCTGTAATTGTTATGGTGTTTGAAAGCAGAGGAAATTAATCTTGCTAGTTAAGCTTAAATTTGTGGATGGGGTTGTTTCAAGACACTAGAAAAAATCAGGTTTTGGGGTTTTTTTGTGATTAACTGTTGGAATAAAACCCAGCAGTGACACAACCATAAACAAGAATTCTCGTGAATAATTTCCTCGTATACAGATTATCCTGCTCAGACCTATCCATAGAACCTGTGACATATTCATAAGCCTTCTTTTGGAGTACTTTAAAAGCAGTAGAGTGAAATGCTTTCTCAGTACTTGGAGGATGCCTCACTTCTTGAACATGATTAATACCCTGGACTGCATTTAGCCATGTGAACAAGACAGATATATTGAGAAGATGTCAACTGCAAAAGATTGATTTCTTTATTCTTGCTTTCTAGAAAAACGTAGGTATTTTCTTGCTTACTGGCTCAGTAGCATGTCTATGTAGATTATAATCAAAAGGTGAAATCCCAGGCAATGCAAGTATAATGTTACCAATTATTCCTTTTATCAGGCTGTTTAATAAAGTACTAAAAGGTATGCAAAAATAAAGAGAGTTTAAGAGACCTGAAGGAAAGACTTAGGAAAAGGAAAATACTATAAAAGATCAAGTGAATGATGCAGAAATCAATTTCTACTAGGGTAGAAGTCAGGTTTTTTTTAAATAAATTAGGACTGGCATCTCTTGGACTAAAATGTTGAGAGGAGTCTTGAATCAAAACGAACAAACAGAAAAGTATTTATATATAATTTATTCTTTTTAATCAGAGCTCAAAACTGCAACCCATATATCTTAACATAGCTTAAAAAAACCAACACTGAGCTTCAGTAAGCGGTAGCATGATTAAAGAAGAACTTCTGCTTATACAAACAAACCTTTTTACAAGATGTCTGCTTTAAAGGAATAGTCTTGTTCATCTAAACACTCTGGAAATCAGAGGAGAGGACAAAATGGGTAAAATACATGTAATATACTACCTCTTGTATCTGGATTAATCCATGATGTTGCACAATGAATTTTTAAAGGACAGCCATTGAAAACCTTTGAAAAGCAAGCACCCATCTGTAGAAGCAAAAACAATTTAAAACATACATACAAAAATATTCACTTCAAGAGCACAAAATCAAGGGTGATCTCCGAAATGCTATACCTGTGGCTTAACACTTCTAAGAGATACTGGCTTCTCTTAATTTTTTACAAAAATACTACAAACATTCAAAAATGTACTCTCTCAGCTTTAATAAGAAAACATGTCTTGCTTCCAACATGCACTTGTATGACTCAGTAATACTCACGTGTACTTTAGGTGTGGGAGGAAGGCCGTTACTAATTGGTTTCTAGAAAATAAAGGTTAGAGAGTATGTTTATGTTTATGCTCATGTATGCATATATGCATGAACATGCATATTCTCTCCCTGCACTACAGTATAACACAAGTCTAAAAAGATTATTTTTTTTTACAAGGCTGTTAAAAGAACTTAATAATCGAGCATAATTACATTAGGAGAAAATCAAGAGCCAATACTTACATCTAATAGATACAAAATCCTCCCTGCATATTTTTTAAGACAATAAAGTTGTGTAGTATATTTCTATACTACACTACACTAAAAGGAAGGTACTAGCTACCTGCTGGGACATTCCACTGTGTCCTGTCTCACATGCCCTGAAGGCCATGGCTGAGCTTTGGCTACCGTCCCATTTTTAAGCATGACATTAGGGTACAGACCTTCCCTCTAACCAACACTCCCATAATTCTCTAAGAATTTGCTAACCACATGCCTCTTGTGACCATGCACCACAACCTACAATTTTCTTCCATTAAAACCTCTACTGGGATTCACTAGTATCTCCTCACTGAATGTTTGCCTAGTCTACTGTGCAACATCTTTTACACTAGGATGCCTGAAAGAATGCCAGAGACAGCACTCCACAGTTTAAGTAATTTTGTAGCAACTGTTCAATATTACAAGCAGCATTAAGCTCTCTCAATCAGTACCACACCCACTCTCCTGTACCAGTACCACTTTCTTCTAGTAAAAACATGCTTCTGAAGACCTTTATTTTAGAGGTAACACAGGAAAGTTCAAGTCCAATTTAAAATGCCAAGTCCAAAGCAGTTCAGGAAATCATACTTTCCAAAGTACTGCCAGTATTACTGGCACTTCCTCTAAGCAAAACAAAAACACACACAATGTTGCTGCTCTACTTCCTCTTCACTTCTCCCAAAAGGCTGACATTTCCAACCTCATCCTTAGAAGCCCCCAAAGAGTGCAGTTTCATGTTACATTTAATCTGATCTAACTATACTCTTTCCTAATTCCCACTTTTGCTATTGCATGGTAATAATAAAGAGTGACCACTCTGGAAGCCATTTGCTGCTTTGATGGAAAAACTCACTTGGAAGGTAAGAAAGAGATGCACTAATATCCCTCTTCCTCAGCTCACAGCTGGATCAGATTACATGTGGTGTAAAACTGCATTCCCTCTACAAGTGCAACTTCACTTATAGTATATATAGGTCAAGTCTGACACTAAAGCCAAGCTGCTAAACCCTGAAACCCAGAGCTCCAGAGGCCAGCAGGCAATCAGCTTGCATATCTGGGCCCTCAACCTACATGTCTGCATTTTTTTTTATCCTCAACACCCAAAAGTCTGTATGCCTACATCTGGAATAGGAGAAAGGCTCATTTGGCAACAGCCTTGATTAAGCTCCTTTACTAGTGCCAGTCAAATCCTCCAGCAAGCCATCAGGTGGCAGCATATTCCTTGATTTCCTCATTTGCTTTATAAATAGTCATTGCTCAGTACAACATATTACACCTGGCAGGATGTCACTCTCATTACCTGTTTCTCAAGTATGTGAATACAAGCAAGTAAGTATTGTATATCCATGACTGTTAGTTTCTAAAGGAAATTAAATACTAATTCAAGCTTAAGACTGTATCACAAGTAGACAATCTAGCAAAACCGTGCTTTGATTCAAAATAAACAAGATGCCATCCAGCATCATTTTTATACAAAAGTGTGCCCGCTCCTTTTCATTGCACATGTAAAACAGCTGAGACAACACCTAGAAGCTTAAATACCTACCAGAATTTCCTTCTTCTCTTTCCTTGAAAAACTAACATCTCTAGCTTCGTTCTGTTGATGCGGTGATCCCTCTTTTTCACCATTTAATTGTATAGAAGTGACTCCATTACCTAGAAAGATTAATATTTAACAACTCAAAGAGCCTAAAACTAATTCTGAAGGGTTAAAATTCACACGTCAGAACATGTTCCAATACCCGAATTTATTTCTAAAGCATGCATGTTCCCACGTGCACATATAACCATCTATAGAGCCACATTCAATCTCAGTCTGTTTTTTGGCAATTAATATAACAAATCTATTGTGGGGGATGCAGTCATACTTATATGGAAAAATGTATTTAACATATACAAAGAAAAACTTGGCTACAGCTAATACTTCAATTATAAATTCTATATAAACAGCCTTAAGTCTTTTCTTAGCACTGGATGCTTAAATGTTACAGTCAAATACGTAATACATCAACTGCAGTATTAAGTATGTAGCAAGGAAGAGCTAGTAAGATATCAATTAAGGGTCAGTCATTAAGCTTACTTAAAAAAAACCAGTCCAGGACAACTCTCAAAGCATCAGACTTTAACAAAACCCTAAAAGGAACAGCTTAAGCCAACAGTGGATAAACACTTATTACCTGCTATACTACCAAACCCAGTTCACTACATACAAAAGCAAACTTAGAAAGCAAAACTCTATTCTTGACATGTCAACTGACAATAGTTCAGACACAGGGCTGAAGCTGAAACCTATATACAGGAAAACTTGTTCATTCTCTATGACAATCCTGTTACACATGGTAAGCTTAGAAAAGCAACCGTGCCACTAATGGCATCA